TGTGTTCACAATCACTTCCTTTATGAGAATCATTTCCTTGTTTTCGTAAGCTTTTAAGAAAATCTTATGATGTGTAATGACAGTCTACTGTTCCTGTTGTTTGTGTTGAGGCACAACAAACAACTGTTCATCATTCAGTGAATAGATTTTGAATGCGGTGTTTCCACTAACTGTATAACCACTTAATGAAGAGCTATGGCCCGTTTGCTTGTGTCAAAGGATAGCTCACATTTTCTGAACCTGCTTGAGATATGTAGGTAGATTTTTTTTAACACACATTCTTGAGATGTTCTCCTGTGGGAAACTTCCACTTCCCCTTGCAAGAAGTAGATAGTTTTTCTATATTGAAAAGATGGGTTAAAATGCAAATTGTTTGAGTCCAATGTGCTATATTATCTTGTTCTGTGGAAGTAAAATGTTTCTTCTCTAACAAGAATATTAATGGGTGGAGTTACCTGAGAAGGAACCTACTCTTTCATTCTCTGTACTTACTGGATTTTCAGGAATAGGTTTTGAATATCTAGTAACAAACAAGTCTGAATTTGCCATTGCACCCTCTCTTAAAACCAGTGTGGTGTCTGCCTCTTTTGTGACTCTTCCAGAATTGCTCAAGCTCTCTGCTGCCTGGAAAATAAAGAGAAGAAGAAGAGGGACCTGATTCTGCCGATGACGCTAACACTAATTTCCCATTTTATGCAGGAGTAAAATGCTACTGGGAGACATATGGTAACCTCTGACCTTTGCATCTCTGCAGGGGATGTCCTGTATGAGCTGCTGCAGCACATCCTGAAGCAGAGGAAGCCCCATGTGTTTTACCCTTCTGCCTACTTCCCTGGGAACTCCTTCCACTCACTCACTGAAAGTGCTGTGCAGCACCTAAAGCTTGAAGGTCAGTCAGATAAACATAACTTTGTTCACACATACAGTCCATATGTTTTCAGCTCTCAAATTACATAGAATTCTTTTAAGCCAAGTTGTCTCTCTGCTTAATCAGATGGTGTTGTTTCAGTCACACTTGGAAACAGTGATGTTTACTATATCAGAATCAGAATCAGCTTTATTGGCCAGGTGTGTTGGACACAAGGAACTTGACTCTGGTACAGTGGCTCTCAACCCTTATCATAACCTTTATGCATAAATTACTGGAACCTACATAATTCAATCAGTGGGTCAAAAATATCATATTAGAATCAGTGTTTTGTTAATAATAAATATATGCAATTTTCATATGTTTTTCTAAAAAATATGCAGGACATTATACAGTGTATAAATCTGACAGACAAGTATGAACCGTTCCTATAATAGAAAATGCATATGGGTTATTTGGGTATAATGCAAAAACTTTACTGATATGACGAGCTAAACTATTAAACTACTTAACAACACGTGCACAAAGCTACAGTAGCTAATGTCTTGACATCTAATGTTAGCTAGCTATAAAGTAGGCTAATTTTATTAGAACAGCATACTGTATCAACTTAGTGATGTCATTTTTTGTGGTAAAAACTAAAGAAGTACCAAATGTAAAATTGTTTTGAAGTGTAATTAATGTATCTGAGTGATAGCAATGACAGGTGGATTCCACAGTAAAACTAGGGACATGACAGAAATAACTAAGTCTGCAGCAACTGTAAATAGTTTATTTTTTAACCACATTATGTAGTAAAACAAAAACTGTTTTAAGTAAAAGAGGTAAATAAAATGTTTAAATGGGCAATATTAAAAACTGAAATTTGTCACAAAAATATTGGCACAAAGCGGTAATTTTAGACCGTCTTATAAATCTAAATGACAGTATAGATTTGAATGAAAATCTACATACTTTAAGATGATCTTTTTGCATGTAGAGTATGGTGCTAATGATAGTATTAGTGCAAGGCAGCAGTCAGTCTATTTCCTCAGAAACACATGACTTTCACTTGGCACCTGTTTGTTGTGTTCAAGGAAGTGAAATACCTGAGACTGGTTTCTGGCTCTGATCTGAGGAAATGTGACATAGCACCAATCAGACAGGATGAAGCAGTAACATTATAGACTTCAAATGTTGACAGTAAAACCAGTTCTATGAGGAAATGTTGCTTTGTTTAAACAAGTACACCACACCACAAACTGCTCCAGTGGCATTGTGCAGACAGAGTGATTGTCTTCCTTGTTTAAAATGCCACTTTGTATGTTTTTCCACTGGTGCTGAATGAAAAAAGCTGATCAAAATTCAAAATGTTTCCACAAGCCAGAGAACTCTTGCCAAAACTGATCAAAAATAATCACGCTGCTCGTCCTAACTGTAGAATATTAGTGACACCTAGTGGTCTTGTATGAGGCCAGTACAGTAATAAGCAGCTTTTGAATTACTGGCAGTGTAGATAAATTACACCACAAGGAAACTATTGATAGCTACAATACACCACTCAAAATATCTGGAAAGATTATTATATTTGGGTCTTTTTTCACTTTCAACACTTGATACAACTTGAAATATGTGCCCTATGGGTGGACAATAATCAGGACATCCTGGAATAAAATGCAAGCCAATACATTAGTATGACTTTTTTTTTAAAGCTTTTATAATATTACATTTGAGTTGACTCTCAAGGAAGTGTTTTTTTCAGTTCTGTGGTCATGTGATACCAGAGTTTGTCAGAGTTGTGCTCTTTTCTCACTGTTACTCTCAGTGCAGCTGCTAGTCTCACCTTGATAGCCAGCATGTCTGAATGGTAAATGAAGAAAATGGTATTGTATACACCCACTGGTTTTTCTAACATCCCAAAAAAAGCTAGTTTCAGGCAACTGAGGGAATTATGGCTGAGCACGCAAATCTCCAAGTACACTGATATTTTGTACTCCAGTCTAATTAATTAAATGTATTATTTTCATAAAGGGCTGCAACTACCAATTAACATCACAGTTTTCAAGTGTTGAGGGTGATTTCTTGATTATGCTTTTTTTTCTGATTTTCTGATGCTTTTTTCTGATATTCCAGAGCCCAAAGGTATCAAGTTTAATATACTGCAAGATGCTGCTAATTCTCTCAACTGAGGAGTTGTAACCATCATATGGCATTTTTGCTCAAAAACTAGTTTAGAAAAATAATGTAAAATCAATTGATTGTTAAAGGTTGTAGATAGTGCAGGTATTTATACCTTTTGCAACCATAGAAACGGTACGACGGGGACCACATGGTACAGAGCCACTCCCCCAGCATCCACCAACCATCGAGCTGCGGCACCGCTCCCGTTCACCTCATCACCCAACCCCAAGACGATCCCTTGCGGAGGCCAACCACCCTCGCCCCACCAATGAAGACCCCCTCCAAACCTCCTCCCAGCTGCCTGACAGCAATCACCATCTTCCTGAGGAAATGTACCCTCTGTCATTGTCCCCAGCTGCAACGAATGGGCATTGTGCAACACCCCGAGAAGCCCCCTGCCCAGGCAGCCCTGTAGGCCAGGAGGTAGGCCCTCCTCGCATCATACAGCTCATGCCTAGCACGATCATGAATCCGCTGCTCCTCAGCCCAAGCAGGAACAGTGGGGGTACCAGCATGGACTTCAGGCAAAGTCGTAGCGGACCCCCATCTCAGGCCATGCTCGAAAATGGACGTGAAGGGAAAGTCCACAGTTACCATCATCAGATACCACTGGCACAGCAACAACAGCAGCCGCAGCATCTACTGCAGCAGCAGCAGGAGGAGGTGCTCTACAGGAACCATGTCATCATGCCCGTGTCTCCTCCTCCAGAGGAGCAGCAAATGCCTATCGGACGGATAGCAGGTAAGATTTAGTCCTCACAAGGCTAAAGGTTCTTCATTCACAATGTGAGCAGAGTTTTACATAGGTATGAACTTTAACTTATTTACTTATCTTGACATAAATGTCACAGTTTTGAAGGATAGAAACCTGACATGAGAATCTTTTCATTAAACCATCATCTCATGCACTCTGTGTTGCCCTGTCATGTCCCCTCAGACTGCAGACTGCTATGGGACTACGTCTACCAGCTTCTGTCAGACAGCAGGTACGAAAACTACATTCGTTGGGAGGATCCAGAGAACAAAGTCTTCCGCATCATGGACCCCAATGGCCTGGCCAGGCTCTGGGGTAATCATAAGGTAAACACACACTCAACAGGGTCCAAATAATCATGCACTGCTGTCTTTGATCTGTCTGTTTGTCAGTGAGCAGGAACATCCCAGATCAAGTCGGTCAAGTTTTTTACAGCAGTTTAGAAAATATTTAGTTTAAAGCTGCAAGAATGAAAATTTTTATGCTAACAATGACTCAAAAGACAATGCATCTAATTTTAGGAGTGAAGAACTCACAGAGAACTATCACCCAAACTTCAGCTAAACTGACTTATAAGCCCACAAACTGATGCTCTCAACAATCTTCGTTTCCAGCAAAAAAGCTCTAGTAAACCTGCGGTGCATTATTTACCCAACACCAGGAGAGGTGATAGACAAAGTTAGCACTGAAATTGTTGGGGAGAACCTAAAGATTCAGATGTTTTTCCCTGGACCTGGTGGAAACAAAACAGGGATTAATGAATGCAGTATTAGACTTGAATTTGCCTGGTGGACAAAAACATGACTCCAAATGAATGCTAATGTTGCTCCTTGTCCACTCCATAGTTAACATGTCAACTTGTATATGAAAATTAGATGTCACTGTTATGTTTGCAGTTTGTTTCTGCTGCCCCAAGTGCCCAAACCATAACTGAATGCAGCTTTAATGTTTCCAGTGACAAGACTTTAAAGCTGCAATAATTAGAATTTTTTCTACAAACTGGTCAAATTACTATGTAATATGAAAGGTGTTTTTCATAGAGATAAAGTCAAAGGCAACTAACTAACTGTCTGCTAAAAGTCTCCCATACGAGGATTGTAATGCAATAGATGACATGGCAGATGGGGTGTTTTCAGCTTATTGTGGAGTAACTCTGCTTCCCTGTGGGCAAAACATTAATAACAGGTTTAATGCCACAGAAAATCTAATCATGTTGAAAGTGATTTATTTTATTATTTTAGATCAGTATCACCACATTGTTTTTGACAAGTGTTGCCCTTTTACTTCTTACAGAACAGGACCAATATGACGTACGAGAAGATGTCACGAGCACTGAGACACTACTACAAACTGAATATTATCAGGAAAGAGCCTGGACAAAGACTTCTGTTCAGGTATATCCAGTTAACATCAACAACTACTTATAAAAATATCTGTTAAGCTAGTGACCATCAGCACCTCTTCAATAGCCAGTCAGTACTGACACAGTTGCAGCAAAAACCAGTGCAGGCCTAAATTAGCTCCCAGTCACTCCCTTTTGCTTCCAGAGAGAAGTGCAATTCATAAATATTCATATAACTTAGTTTGGATTACTGATCTAACACAATAAAAATAATAATAAAATAACAGGATTTTCAATGAACTACCAAACTAGTTTCCTTGTCTGTGTCATTTTCACCAGGTTCATGAAAACCCCTGATGAGATAATGAACGGACAGACAGACCGGCTAGAGCATCTGGAGTCCGACACAGATGAACAAATCTACATCAAAGAGGAATGCTGAGGAACTCTAAGAAAAAAATATCCATGAACTACCTACTATTACTACTACAGCCGCTGATGCCTTTCAGAAGCAGCCTGAACAATCGACGTTGAATTTGGAGTGCATGGTTTTTCGCTCATACAGTATCAGTCCTACAGGGGGAGATGAAATCTGATCTCTCTAATTATTGCCTTAGGATGACTGTTTCCTGAAATAAAAAGATGGACAAAGCTGAAAGGACATTCTAAATGTTCACTTTTCTGAATGAACTGCAAAAGCCAATCACTTTGTGGTTATATCACTTTATGATTTTTTTTTTTATTTTGTTTATTTTATTTTATTGTTTTTTTTTTTTGTTTGTTTGTTTTGTCTTTTCACATTCATTATACTATGAAATTTTGCTGTCTGTAAAAAGAAAACTGGGTCTGTGTGCGTGTGTGACAGGATTGTTTTCACTATGGAATAAACATTTTTGATTAAACTCTATCCTCATATGTAGAGTATGCTTATAATTTAAAATATTATCCAAGACATTTATCACCTTTTGTTCAATGTTTCATGTTTCTCTGGGTGGTGTTTGGGACAGTGATGCTACCTGAAGTACATGAAATATCCACATGATGGCAACAGTGGACAACTTTTAACTAGAGTAGACCCTGGTCAGGGTGGGTTCCCGCATCTACAACCCAGTTTTGGCTGCATTTGGACATTGTGGTGAAGAGTTATAGCATTTGACACCTGTCGAACCAACCCACTCATTTCAGCGGCTAGTAGCAGGAGAATGGCAAAGAATATTGCAGAACGAATAGTACCATTGTTTCCGGGGCGCTCCAAATGGGGTAGGTTGTGTTCTACCACCGTGAAGTTGGCCCCCCACCCAACGCAAAATAAGGCCAAAATGGTGTCATTCGTTTGTGCTGCAAAAAGTTTCATTTGTGCTGTTACGGTATTTGAGATATTAAACAATATCTTTGGTGGGTCATCCACAGGTCACTCGGCCCCACAGATAGCTCCAAATTGGACAAAAGTGGTGTCGTTCGTTTGTGCTTCGTTTGTGCTGGTTTGTGCAAAAAGTGTGTGCTGCCAGAAAATTAAAATGTATTTTATGAGTCAAAGAATGAAAGCTGTAATATCTCAAATACCGTAACAGCACAAACGAAACTTTTTGCAGCACAAACCAGGACAAACAAATGACACCATTTTAGCCTTATTTTGTGTTGGGTGGGGGGCCAACTTTACGGTGGTGTAGGTTCTAGGTTTGGTGAAGATTAGATGAAGTATGGAGAATAGGGAGTAGAAAAGCTGTTTTACAAAAAATTCAAAGTAGCGGAAAATCTAGTGAAACAGCAGTGGGCGGTCCCAGTGGCACAAACCTTTGGAACCTTCCAATAAATCCAAGAAAAAAATTTCTAGGCCTCACAGATCATGAGTTATTAATGAAAATGTAAAAAGATCACAAATGCCTATAGCTAACCACAAGGTGGTGCAATAGAGGTCATGTACCACGTTTTATGTTATCGTTAATACTTCTTGAGATACTCAGAAAGAAACCCTTGGGGGGAAAGTATTTTTCCATTCATTCCTGTGAAATTGCTGGTTTTTCACAATTTATGCGAAGTCATCGCACACTATTCCCAATGGGAAGACGTGACATACTTGAACTTGGTGCACCTTATCTCAAAAGCCACGGGAGGAGTAGCACTGCGAAACTTTGGCAGAAGAAAAATAAAACGTAATATAACAATAATAATAATAAGCCTACAGGAATTCAAGAGGTGCGCTATACTCCTTTGGGTATCCCACACCTAATCATATTGTTAGAGTCTCCATAAAAGTAAGTGTGCGCAGAGCTGAACAGAGAGAGTGGAAAGAGATGCGGAGGAGCAAAGACTGGAGAGTGAAGTGACTGGTCAGAATCGATCCCACTTTTGAGTTTTTTAAAATATATTAATTGCAGTTCAAGTATATATTCTGATTCTCTTGCCTCTGTGTGACTGCCACCAAACAAATGCGCACCAGTAGAGCGCCATTAAAGGCGTATTACCAGCCTAGCGGGCTTCTTTTTGGCTGTGGAATATCGGAGTAAAAGGACAGAAGTGGTTTGAATGAGGCATAATCGCCGCTATGCGGTGGATCACCTGCCCAAGCTGCCGCGTTGGGAAACGAATAGTCACGTTGATTTAGACAACGTTGTTTGATTTCATCCAGGAAAAATAAGCCACCACTCCCATTTTTTTCGCCAGTGCAGAACACAAATATCTCAGACGCAGCACTGGATTGTAGCAGCAGCTCTACAGATGACTTAAAGGGACATGAAGGTGTGGGAAGGGAGTGGGACAATTCCAGGTAAGTGCCATTCTTGCGACTTCAGCAGTCATTTACTGCCCTCTTTCGGTTGCTGTTAAATGTTTTCTCGCCGGTGGGTATGGGCGCACAGTCATGTGCAGAGAACCATTCAATCGAGGCAGACCATCAGCATAGCATCAATATCCAACCATTACTGAAACAATTACCGCAAAACTACACTGTAACAAATTGCTGTTAAAAAACGGCCAAATTCCAAAAGTAACATACTGTTTTCAGAATCAGAATCTGCATTATTGGCCAGGTGTGACGGACACACGAGGAATTTGACTCAGGTACATCGGCTCTCAATGTGCAAAACAATAAACCAGCATAAAGCTGTATAATATAACAAAATAGCAGTATTGACATCAATAAATAGTGCAAACAATGCAGACAACAAGGAATGTTCATTGAAATGAGATAAATAGGGATAAAAACAGAGTACTTAAAGCTAGAGACCTCTATGACTCTGTATAATCTGTACAATGTGTATATACACAGGTATTCTGAAAAAACTTAGAAAAAATCAACTGGACTAGATTTCTAAGTCGAAGACGTTTCACCTCTCATCCAAGAGGCTTCATCAGTTCTGACTGACTGGTGTTGAGCCGGAGATATTTATCCCCCTCGGTGGTGTTTTCAAAGGACTGAAACACCACAAGTCCACGGACTACAGGACCACCACCAGCATCATCAGCTGCCAGATGACCTCAACACCTTCTACACCCACTTTGAAACCCCCACTTTGTTTTCAAAGGACTGAAACACCACCGAGGGGGATAAATATCTCCGGCTCAACACTAGTCAGTCAGAACTGATGAAGCCTCAGACACATGCCTGCCCACCCGAGCAGAGACATGTCTGTGACACTGAAAATGTGTGATGTGACTGCAAAAGGGAACTCCTGTTGCTATGACATTGGGAGTTCCCCAGTATGCCAAGTCTGAATTGGACTGAGGGGGGCGCTGTTAGCACATGCCTCTTGTGACGCACAGGGTTGAGATGAAGGGGGCCGAGCCATCTCTGGAGCTTCTTTCTGTGGAGGAGACCAAGGGGAACCACAATATGACTGGCTGACATTGTGCCCAGTAAGTGCATCACAGACAAGGCTGTCACCTTTGTGCTGGGAGCGATGCGCTACAGGAGAGATAAAAGCACCTCTTGCCTGGCAGATGACAGCTTCGCCCTCATGCTGAGAGAGCCCAGCTGTGACCCCAGATAAGTGATTGTCTGACATGGCAGCGGCGAACTCTTTTCCCAGTTCACTTCAAAACCCAGCTGGGGGCCAGAAAATAACTGAAGGGCAACCAGTTATATATTGAAAATGTGCACAACATCCCTGGGAGGGCTCTCAGGGCATGTGCCAGCGAGCTGGCTGATGTTCTCACCACCATCTTCAACCTCTCTCTCAGCCAGAGCATCGTTCCCACCTGCTTTAAGACCACAACCATCGTCCCCCTTCCCAAGAAGAGCCCGGTCACCTGCCTGAACGACTACAGGCCAGTGGCACTCACCCCAATTATTATGAAGTGTTTTGAGAGAGTGGTGCTGGCCCGCATTCAGAGCAGTATACTGGGCACCCTGGATCCCCTGCAGTATGCCTACTGGCCCAACAGGACCACCTCAGACGCCTACGCAGCTGCACTCCACTATTCCCTTTCTCACCTGGAAAATGGAGACTCCTACATCAGGATACTCTTCATTGACTACAGCTCCACCTTCAACACAGTTGTCCCCCACAAACTCACCCACAAACTGTCCACACTGGGTCTGCACCCCAC